CAGCCTCTGGTAACCACTATTCTACTCTTTACTTTTATAGATTCGAATCTTTTAGATTCCACATATAAGTGAGATCATGCAGTATTTGTCTTTCTGTGAGTATAGGCCTAATTTTTAAAATCAAGCCTAAATCCTTACAGACATTCATGTGAAAAACAACCACCACCACCAGTTAATTAGGACCAATGATCTCTTTGTGAGAATGGCTAAGAACCAAAGCTAAATCCTCAGCAGAAAACAAGAGCCTTCACCCGCATACTCTGACTTCCTCTCACTCTCTTCTTCAAGATCTCTGCCCTCACAAATAAAAAGTATTCACATTTCTCACATCTTCTATTTTTATAGCCTCACAAAACACAGAGGTGAATAGAAACACAATGCTGCCTGACTTCATCGAAGGACAGGCTGTCATTAATGGATCCAATGTCAAATTGTCAAATTTACTCTAATTTTGCCTGTTTATCCCAGTCCATGCCTTAACACAACCTACAGTAAGCTTGCTCATTTTGCTGGGCTGAGTATATCTGCTGATCGAATTTGTAGTCAGATTTGCTAATTTACAAGGCTGGCCTTGCTCTAAAGATATAATTTTTTGTTTGTTTGTTTTCTTTTTAGATGGAGTCTTACTCTGTCGCCCAGCCTGGAGTGCAGTGGCATGATCTTGGCTCACTGCAACTTCCGCCTCATGGGTTCCAGCAATTCTCCTGCCCCAACCTCCCGAGTAGCTGAGATGACAGGCATGCCACCACACCCAGCTTAACTTGTGTATTTTCAATAGAGTCGAGTTTTCACCATGTTGGCCAGGCTGGTCTCAAACTCCTAATCTCAATTGATCCATGATCCACACACCTTGGCCTTCCAAAGTGCTGAGTGACAAGTGTGAGTCACCCGCCCAGCCTAAAGGTATAATCTTATACTAAATTCACTATCATTTCTACTTAGTGGGACTCAGGCAAGTTGTCCTATATAACTATGACTGCTGTTTCTAAATGCCTAAAGATGGGGTGACTGGGCTGTACAACAGTTTATTTCAAATCAAGAAAGCAGTTCTGATCAAAGGGAAGAACCACCTCATTTCCTTCCGGGGAAGGTGAAGTTACCAATCTTACAAAAGTCAACTTCTCTCTGATTTGGGCTTTACTACTCACACTGTCACTTCAAAGACAATAAAGGTAGGCAAGTGGACTGAAGATTTGTTCCTGCTTGAGACTGAATTGAAGATATTTAATTGGTGTTAGAAGTCTAACTATATAAAAAGCTAAAGACTTTTTTTAAAGCAAGGATTTTCCAGAAAATAAAGGGGATTTATTAGTTAAATGTTATTTTTCCACTTTTATGAATACATATATAGCAAAAAGAAAACTATACACTAAGGTTCTTACAGTGTTGTACCTTATAAGGAAGTACAAGGTACAACATATAATATTATGTTGCTTTTTATCAAGTTTTAAATTGTCTTATTTTATGATTTTTCATCATAAGTACTACAATTTTCATATGTAAGTTCTATGAGTAATTTTTGGGTAACAAGAAAAAGTCATATATATATATACACACACACATATATATACACACACACATATATACACACACACATACATATACACACACACACATATATATATCAGTACATTTAAGAAATGCTTTTTTCTAATAGTAAATTATAAAAATAAGTAATAAATAAATTAAAAAGTAATAAAAATTATAGTAATCCCAGCTCATTTAATAAATGCTCTCTCTATAATGTATCCAATAAAAAACACAAGATAAAAATTATGCAGAAATAGAAAAAGGTTTGTGTAACATTCAAAAGAACAAAAAGCAGACTATATATAGCTCAAATTAAACATGCAATTATGTATATGTGTAGACAAGGCTAGGAATTTATAAGTCAAATCAAAATTCCTTACATTAGTTGGGTGAGATAAAGTATAAATGTAGTTTTTAAATATTTGCTTTTTGTTTTACATTGTCTGGTCATTTTTTCTACATTTACCTATTTAAAAAGAAGAAACGGATGGGTTCACTGTCCTAAATTTGGTTTCAAGTTGCTTTTTGTCAATTTCAAGTTTTAAGTGGTGTTATTTCATTTTTCACCATAAGTCATTAGTCTTTAGTCCCTATTACAAAACATGTGCTCACCAAGGGACTTTTGGGGCCTAAGATAATTCGCCAAAAGCAATTAACTTCCTAGGGGCTTTCAAGTGGGGGGATTTCCTTACTTAGGTTTCAGACCATCTCTTAACAAACAGTTATTCTCTCAAACTGACAGTTTACTCTGGTAATTTGGCACCCCTAAAGCATTCTAGTAGCCTTCAAAGAGGTTCCTTTAAAACATTGTCACTTCTTCTATGTGTTAATTTGAGAGTATTCAGAAGGAAATTACTTGTACAGTGTCTCAAAGACCTTACTCAGAGACAAGGTCTAAATTCCAGATCTTCTTTGCCTCTAATTATTTTATCTTTTCCCCTCTCTAAAGTCAGTGCAAGAAAATTTTTTTTTTTTCTAAATTAAAGTCTAATTTGCCACTAAGGGTGGTAACTGTATCTCAGGCACGAACATTAGAGGATTTTTCATTAGCCTAACTGTAGCTGGTAGTGGGGGTGATGCCATTTATCAATTTAATTTTTGCTTGCAAACCTTGCCATCATTTATAAATTTGGGTTTTTCCATCCTGGTTGCTAATGTCTTAATTCACATTTATTATTTTATTGTATTTATAAGACTTCTCAAGTCCTTTGTGATGTAAGTACGGCCCCTTAAAAATGAAAATAAATAGCCCAATTTATGTTCATCAGGTTGGCTTAAGAAAAATTATTAAATTACAAATTAAACTACAAAAATGATTAAATAGTCCGTTTTATGTTCGTTGGGTTGGTTTAAGAAAAATGATTAAATTACAAATTAAATAACTTTCTTTATTTTCCCCACAAAACTATTCTGCATGACTACTTGTAAATATACAGCTTTATTTTCCAAAGGCCCTCTCCCTTCCTTTGACCATAAGATAACCATTCTAAAAAATGTAAAGGAGATAAAACTGGCCGTCCAGTGATTGCCTGGCCAATGTCCTAAATAATGCAAGACAAAACCTGTTGGGGCCCAATTAAATAAAAATCCATGGACTCTCAGAGGCTTCGGAATTCAAATGAGCCTCATGGATCCACATCCCTTCGATTAGGCATCTGCAAGCTGGCATTTCTGAGTGAGGGACTTTCCAAAACAGGCTGCTCAAGTTTCTTGGCCAATAACAGGGTCATGCACAATTAAAAAAAAAAAAAAGCAACCACAGCTATTTCTCAAACAAATTTGTAAAGTAAGTTTGACTCTTTTTCTATCTCCTTTAGAAATTTGCCAATATTTTGGGATTTCGAACTTTGTTGTTGTTAAGTGTCGAAGTGAAAACACTGAGAAATAGGAAAGAGAAAACTAATACCAGGAAGGTTGAGAGAAGGAAAGAGAAAGAGAAGCAAAAGGGGTTAAGGATGGGGATATTTGTTGACTGTAGTTATCATCAGAGTCAGAGGACTAGGGAAAGAGGGGAAAAGCAGAAAACAGCTCCCCACCCATCTATGTCCAGTCCATTAATAGAATTTAAAATTTGCTTCTGTATTCCAAGTAATTAGCATTTTGCATCCATTTTATTTATTGCTACTACTAAGAAAGCACTAACTGTGAAGGCATAAAAGCAAACATTTTCTGGAGACACATGAGGTGACACAAGAGTGTCGAAACTTCTTTAAGGATAAAGGCCGGATGTTAGGCATGTCCCGAGTGCAAAACCAATTTCTGTGTAACTAAATTTAAAAGAGTTCTATTAAAGGGGATAAATGGAAGATATATCGCAAAACGTAAAAAATGATTACTTAGGTGATAGGGTTATGTCTGATTTTTGTATTTGACTCATCTGCATTTATAAATTTTATTTAATAAGCCTTAATTTCCTAGGCCATATATCATATACAAATATTATAAATTACACCTAACTTATAGGTATTATAATATGTATATATACATAAATGTATGTGTATTTATATATGCGTGTGTGTGTGTGTCTGTATTCTTTCAGAAAAGCAAAGTTTTCTTCGGGCTTTAAACACACGCAGCCTCTGGTAAAGGTGCTATTGGTACAAAAGTTCAACAAGCATAGCTCCAAGCTTTGGCAATTTTCTTACACTTTGCTAATACTGCTGTCCATGAACTAAGAGATTTTCAAAGCAGCCAACATTGCATTAGTGCAATGGTTAATAACAAGGGAGAGAAGAGTGTGGTCTGAGATTGTATAAATGGTTTCTCAATCTTGAATCATAAATTTTCTCCAAGGAAGTTTCTAAAGAAGCCCAAATAGTGCACATTATTTCTGAAAGGAACAGGAGGATTTTTTTTTTTTTCTAATCATAAAATGGACCCAGACATCTCAGCCTTTTGGTGTAATCTGGATATCAGTAATCTGGATATCAGATGCAATCAGGGAACAGCCTGAGTTTTGGAGTTAGATCTGAGTTCAATCCCATATCTGCCATTTACTAGCTGTGTGATCTTGGTTGAATTACTGAAGCTCTCTGAACTTCATTTCGCCATCTGTAAAGTGGGGATGTGGTCATCTTCCCTACTATATGGCTCTCCTGAGAATCCACGGAGAGCACATTTGTAAACATTTCTCTTGCTATGCTTGGCACTTTGTTGGGGCCAAAAAAAAAAAAAAAATTCCATGGACTCTCAGAGGCTCCGGTACTCCAATGAGCCTCCTGGATCCACGTCTCTTCGTTCAGCCATCCGCAAGCTGGCATTTCTGAGCGAGGGACTTTTCAAAACAGGCTACTCAAGTTTCTTGGCCAATAATAGGCGCCAGGTTCTGTGTGGTGGGAACGGGTACCACCCCAGCAGGAGACCAGGCAGAAACTACCATGGGAGTGCAAGCTAAGAAAGGGCAAAAGAAGAAAGAGAAGGGCAGAAAAACAAAACAAAATGAAACCACTCAGGCAGCGACTTACAGTGTTAAGGAGAGAATTCCCGGAAGGGAGACGACAGTTTCTTTTTCTGTATGACAATAAAAAAAGGTAAACAAGCCTCCAGAAGCTCATTCAGCCCCCATATAACTTTTCCGAGAAAGAAACGGTGCCGTTCTTCCGAGCCCTCCGGTTTAACCACTGCTTCGGGGCTGATTTATTTCCTAAGTCTGAGAACTGCCAGAAAATGAGCAATATCTGTTCTGAAGGCTGCAGGCTCTCTCCCCGCCCCCGCGGGGCGGCGCGCGCTCACCCACCAGCGCCGCAGCGGACCTTTGGCTTGGCTTGTCAGGGCTTGTCCAGGAGTTCCGCTCCTCTCTCCAACCGGGGTCCTCCTTCAGGGACCCTAAAGCTTCCCAAACTTCCGCTTCAATTCCTGTCCGCCCCCCACACCCACCTCTACGTGGAGCACAGTGGTCTCCGAGGAGTGCCGGAACTGCCCCGCCTGCCCCGCGGGGTCAGCACTTTGCATCAAGTCCCTAGAAAAGCGAGTCCTCCAGCGTTCTGAGCACCTGGGCCCGAGAAAAGATCCCAACAGCCCCCGGGAGCCAGTCTCCAAAGCCTCCCGCAGCAGCCCGCCGCTCCCAGGTGCCCGCGTGCGCCGCTGCCGCAGCAATCCCGCACGCGTCCCGCGCCCACCCTACTTTGCCTATCTCCGGGACTAAGACCGAGTAAGCCTCCACCCGGGCAGGAGAGGGCTCACCAGAGGTAGGAGGGTCCAGGTGCCCAGCATGGTTGTTGAGCAATCCTCCGAAGTGAAAGAGCCTCCCCAGTTCCGCGCTGAGCGGGTCCACCAACCGCGGGAGAAGCGGCAGCTCCGCCTGGGCAGCCAGGGCTGGCCTCAGGGTGTGTTCCGTGCCAGTGCCCGCCCCTGGCGCTCCAGCCAAGTCACTCGTAAACCGCTTCCCTCACTCCCCAGAAGCGTCTTTGAACACCTGTGTGTCACTCTTGCGCGAGATCAGAGACGAGCTCACGAAAAGCCCCCGTGGTCAGGAGGATGGGAAGGAAGCCTCGCTGGGGAACGCCCGGGTTGGGGAGGGCTCCATTGATTCAGCAACTTGGCCTGCGCGCGGATGGGGAGGGGGAGAAGTCAGGGTGAGGAAGGAGTCAGGGTTTGTTGCACAAATGGGCATTCCCCGTCCCGGGGCGTTCCTGCAGTGGCTGGCAAGCTCACTTCAGGTGAGGACCTCGAGAGCCTGCCTGCTGACCTTTCTAAAGACTTCCGCTGCAGTTCAACCTGGGAAGTTGAGGACGTCTTGAAGGAGACAGGAGCTCAGAGTGCACAGGTCCTGCCTGGGTGCACAACCTTGGCTAATAGCTGGAGTCAGTCAGAGGAAGACTTGCGGGGCATTTGACTGAGCTGTCCATGTTGTGGCTGCAACAGAGGCTCACAGACGTTCCTGCAATGGACAGGTCGCCATATGAAAAAGTACAGATATTGCGCCATAGGGCTCTGAAAAGGGAAGGCCCCTTTTTATTTCTCAAGAGGAAAACAAAGCTAACAACTTAAGGCAGATTGCACAGCCCCAGCTATATTAAACATTCAGAATTACTTCCTGTCCTTCGTTACTCATTATTTCCTGGCCAGTTTTCTTTAAAGAAAAAAAAAAAACAACTTCTAATTCTTTCGTGCTCTGGTGAACACTGTTCAAAGTTACTATTCTTTTGGAACAGTAGATAGCTCTTAGGTAGTTTTGCATGAATTTTACAGAAGGTATGTTTGGATAATACCATCATTACTGAACCTGAATTTGGACACACTGAAGGTTTCAGTATTCCTTTGGCATCATCCACCAAGCTGTGCACCTCACTCTGCCGCCTCTCTCCCTTCCCAGTTAGATTCAACCCATTAGTAACACATTAATAACCCTTTGCTTGGCTCACTGTTCATCCTTCAGGCTTCCTCTTAGTTGACATTTTCTTCTGGAGCCTGTTCGGGCCCTCAAATCTAGGTTAGGTTACCCTCCTGAGTGCTTTCCATCATCCTGTGTTTTGCATCTGTCACTGCACTTACCAGCAGTCTTGTAGGTGTTGACTAGTTTGTCTCTGTTCCACCCTTCAGTAGACTGTTAGTGCCATGAGGAAGACCCTGGGTGTGCCAGCCTTGTGCACACACTCTGAGCATCTAATAGACACAGAAAGAAGTGGGACGGGGAGGATGGTATATGGGCATTCTCTGTATTATCTTTGCAACTTTTCTGAAATCCCAAAACTATTCCAAAATAAAAAGTTCATTTAAATAAAAAATGTAAAAAGAAGGAAGGAAAAGAGGTGGGAAGGAAGAAAAGGAGAGGTAAGGGAAGAAGGAATGGAAGGAGGGAAGAGAGAAAAAAGGGGAAAGGACAATTGACAAAATCAGTATCTCTTGAATGTGAATTATAAGCCAGAAACTCGCATATGTGGATCTTCCTTACTTAATACTTATCATTATAGCCCAGTGAGGTGAGTGATTATTAAACTTACTTTACAAATAAAAAAAAAGTAGCCAAAAAAAGCTTCAGCAACATTGGCAACGTTGGTTAGTTAATAAACAGCAGAGTCAGGAATTAAACTTGGTTATTCTTGCTTCCAAGGTCCTGCTCTTTCTATGCCATACCCCCTTCCCCTACCTCCTACCCTTGTACATCTAATTATCCTCAAGTTCAAGGAGATAGGAATAGGTGCTGTGTGGGGAGAAATATGTTTCATGGTCAAATAATCTTAGAAAATTCTGGGTTAATTTAATTTGAAAACTTTCTTAATCCAAAACTTCTCAGGGCCTTTAACATGCTAATATTAAAGGGTGGGGTAATTATGTATACTGTTCCCCAAACTTCTTTGTCTATGGAACTCTTTGAAGAATCTATTGAATGAACACCTAATAAATGCTGGTGTTTCTGGGGAAAAAAGTTTGAGCATCTCTAAAGGTTATTTTTATTTTGCCAGCATACTCCTGAGAGTCCTTCAAGGGCAAAGTAATAAAATCTTAATAATAGAATTTCAGGTACTCTACCAGATGTTGGAGATATTTTGGACAATCATCCTTTTTCAAACCATACCATATAAGTTAAAGCTTGTTTCTTGTATTCAAAAGATATCCTGGTTTCTGAACATTCTGAATAACATTTAAACAAATATCTGACTATGTAATAAACTGAAAGAGTTAAGATTAAAAAACAAACAAACAAAAAAAAAACTTCTACATCTTTTTACCACTAAGACTTTTGTTATTTTCCCCTTTGGACCTAATATTTTAAAAATGTTGTCAACCAAATTGTTTTTACTAAATAGCAACAAGTTGATTTTAATAACTCCCAACTATAGTGTATATCCATGACTGTTTATCCTGCCTTTCTCCTTCTTCTTCCTCCTAGTAATAGTACTTCCAAGCTGTCTTTACAAAAACTGTCCCTCTCCCCTTTTCTTAACTATTTGATGTGAATGGTTCTTTTAGTCAGGGTTCTCTAGAGAAACAGAACCAAGAGAATGAATAGATAGAAAGATAGATAGATAGGAGCTGGCTCACATGATGGTAGAGGCTGGCAAGTCCAAAACTTTAGCATTGGCCAACACGCTGGAGACCCATGAAAAAGTTACAGTTCAAGTCCAAAGGCAGTCTGTTGGCATAATTCTCACTCTCTCAGCGGAAGTCAGTCTTTTTTTTTTTTTTTTTTAAGTCTTCAACTAATTGGATAAGGACTGTTGACATTATAGAAGGCAAATGTTTTACTCAGAGTTTAAAGATGTAAATGTTAATCCCATCCAAAACACAGCTTTACAGAAACATCTAAGATAGTGTTTGACTAAATAGCTGAGTGCCATGGGCTAGCTAATTTGATACATAAAATTAACCATCACAGTGGCATTGGTACCAATCCCAGGGCTTGGGTATACACGTAGGTGGAGGGAGGTAGTAGGTGGGAAATATGACTTGGCTTAAGTCAGTCAGCACATCGCATTCAGTTGGAGTAGATTTTGGGACCGTTACTGGAAACACTGGGACACAAACCCTTTATTTTTCACTGGATTTGAAGTAGAAATATGTGAGATGTGAAACTGATGTGGTTGGTTGTGAAGGGAGCTTGTGGTCCTGCCAGAGCTGAAAACAGTCAGCTTATGCTGAGAGGAAACCACACTGAGAGGAAACCATGCTGAAAGATCAAGGTTGGTAGAGTCATCCAAGTTCTGGGTGCATTTGGTTCTGAAATTGAACTCTGGACACCCCCCCCCACCCGCCACCTCCCCTCCCCCTGCCACCCCCACCCCCTACCCAGTTACCCAACTCTACAAATTCTTAGTTTTTGCTTAAGCTAGATTCTTACAACTAAAAAAATCTTAACTGATAAATTATCAGAACTTTGATCTGTATAATAATTCTTTTGTTATAAAAGTTAATTGTTACAAATTAGCTACTCTAGTTTCAAGCTCAAGTGAAGATAATTGCATAAACAATCCTGTAGACGGCTGAGTATCTAGGGACATTACTTCTCCTACCAAAGAATTTTTCTGTCACTAGAGGGCGTCAGAGCCCACAGCAGCCAAGTGACAAAATCTATTGATAATTGTTTCTACCAATTAACAGAAATGTGTATGGGTTCTTGGGAAAGGAATAGAGAGGAGGGAGATCTTAGATTTGGATAGGTAATCTGTGAATCTAATCATATAGACATTTTCACTTCCCAGAGAACATATTCTTTCCTACAGGATTAAAGAAATGACATATGCAAAGCCCCTAGTACACACAATAAATCTAATTTTTACTTTTACATTGCTTTTCCTAAATGAAGTGCCTTCACAAGACAAATTGATAATTTGGGGTCACAGTTCAGATGGAAAAAAAAGTAAGTTAAATGGCTTACAACCACTTTTCCTGAACTACTTCCTTCCTCCACTACTTCCTTCCTATACTTCTTCCTTCCTGCACTACTTCCTTCCTGTACCACTTCCTTCCTTCACTACTTCCTTCCTACACTACTTCCTTCCTGTGCTACTTCCTTTCTATACTACTTCCATGCTCACATTCCTGAAGGCTAGGGCAGCACAGGTCTAGTAAAAGTGTCCTAAAGCCTAACTGACCAGGGCTGGAAAGCTTCGCCACCAAGATATGGAGCAAATTATTAAGTCTCCTAATTTTTCCCACTATGAAAACTGGTATACGAACCTACCTGTTGAGCAATGGCTGAAAAATGCAATGCAGTAAAGAATGTTTAGACTGTGGCAACTAAGAAGCAGAGAGCAATTGGGTTAGTAGGGTGAAAACATCTGTTCTGTGGACCCTGGCTTCTTAATCCAATTGAGTACCCCTCCCCTGACATTTTTGCATATGGTGGTCCCCTGAAAACACAGATATTCTATGAAACCAAACATGAGAAGCATGCCTACCCCCTGGGTGTTAAGAACTGACACAAGGAAAGATAGGGACCACTTTTCAAGAGGTGTTGATTTGGGGGCAGATAAAATTTAATCCTGAGTGGGCTTAGCTTAAGGCAATGTTTCTTCAACTTCAGTCTATTTTGCCATTTCTGTAGTCTACTTGTATATACTAAATATATATTTAACTAATATGTATTTTTAAATCAACTTATTTTGTTCCCTAAGTCATTTTGTTTTTAAAATAAAACATTACATTATAACCATAAATGGAAAATCAGCATTCCTTGCCAAAAATAGAAGGTATCCATAAAAATAAATATGCCACTATTGAAACAAAATATTTGCCTACATGCCAATAAAAATTGTTTCCCAAACTACTAGTGGCAAGGGCATTATACTTCTGGAAAGGTTGGCTTAAGACATGGCAGCGCCTTCTCTCTGCTTTAGACTTCCTCCCTGCCCCCAAACAACCTCCAGAGAAAAGACTAGCTGGTGTGGGCCTCAGGCCCTCCTCATGGGACTGAAAGGGAGGTGACTGGAAGGAACAGAATGAAGAGGGGCAGTCATTGTCTCCCAAGCCCCTCTGGTGCTGGGGAGTGGGATGGGGTGGGGGACTCTTTACCAGGGCACCAGCCTTTCCTTGTTAGAAAAGGCTGAGGGGACAGCTTGAGGGAGATAATGGATGGGTAGGGAGGACTACAGGGAGTCCTGCAGAAATAGAGAGAGAATGTGGAATGGGATGTTGGAGGAGAAAGGGCAGGGGAGCCCAGAGCACTTGGGTAGAAAGGAGACATAGATGGTTTTCTGCAGAAGGCAACCTTAGTCAACTAATACAATAGTGGTATTAATATCTAGTTAAACTGAGAAAGGAGAATGGGGAGTAAGAGTTTTTATTTGGATAATGTGTGTATATGAGCATATAGACATTTTCCTCTCCCTGAGAACACCCCCGAATTAGCAACTTGTCCTATGAAGGATAGCATCTCTAGATATAAATCCTAGTTCAGTTACTTCACTAGATGTGAGAAGCTGTGCATAATATTTAACATCTCTCAGCCTCAATTTTCTCACCCGGTAAATATAAGTCTCTCCAACAGTAATGATATGCCCAGATAGATTCTGGAAAATAAACTTGGATATTGTTATTTTATTTATTTTATTATTTTGTTGTAGCAATTTGCCAATGGCCCC